AAACCAGCACAACCGACGAGCTCAAACACCCGGAAACCAGCACAACCAACGACGGTGAAACCAGAAGCAACAGCTGACGTCAGTGTTTAAAGACGCATCAATGTTTACAACATCTCTTAAACATCATGAGATGCTTCATTTCTGTCTCGCCGTAGTATATTCAGAGATTCTGTCTATTTTTATCTTTTTTCAAGTTCCAGTGAAACGGAAGTGAGAGTTTTCTTTGAGCTTCTGCACTGTGACGTATAACGAGGTTCAAATCAAATCCTTCACATCTGATTGGGCAAAGTGGGCGTTAACACAAACATCTGTTGTCCCTAAAAGTGATGGATGGATGTCCTGATATATTTGGTACCAGAGAACTTAAGAGAACTTCATATTTAGCTTTACAGGAAGAAAAGATGAGTCAATGTTGATATAGAATTCAAAGATTTATTTTATTATTTTTGCATAAAAACATTTCTGTCCCTCATAGCATCCACATGCAATCATTATTATTATATTTTATCTTCATTTTAAATGGTGTTACATTTTTATACCTCACAGTTTATATCATTACTGCTTAGTTTGGTTTAAGTCAAGATGATTCAGTACATTTTGAATCCTTTGATGTGTTTAGTGTGTGTGTGGAGCTGATGTCAACAGTGAGTCCTGTTGCACACAGAATGATCTCTAAACAAGTCATCACTACAATAAAATAACTGAAACCAGATAAAGTATAAAGTTACAGGAGGTGACCATTCAACAACAAGTTTTGTGATTTATTTAAAAGTAACAGAGTATAATTCTGTGCAGCCTGCCTTTGTATTAAAACATCCGATACAGTATGAATATACTTCATATATATAATATGTAAATACGTGACTTTCTTATCCGGCACCCAACAGATAAGGTTTGTCCAAAAAAGATGAACATCTTCTCTGCTCAGAGAGGTGTGTGTGTGTGTGTGTGTGTGTGTGTGTGTGAGTGTGTGTGTGAGTGAGTGAGAGTGTGTGAGTGTGTGTGTGTGTGTGTGTGTGTGTCTGAATGATCTGAGTGGTTTCCTGCAGCAGCTCAGCTCTCTGGTGAGTGTGCACACGGCTCCCTCTGCTGGTCAGGAGCAGGAAACTACGTCAACGTTTATAATTTAGGGACCGTAGAGGTAATTTATTTAGATTATTGTTAATAAGAATACGTTTATGTTACTCCATCCTGCTGATGTTTAATATTCTACTTGATTCAATGCATTAGAGAGGAACTGGAAATGTATATTTTGACAGTAAAGCCATGAAGTATTCATAGATTACACAGTTGATGAAATATGAATATGACCGGACGAAGGCACACACTAGATACTGTGTGTGTACGTGTAACCTACTGTAGCCCAAATCTAACACATTAGTTGTGTTTCCTAAACTTAATCAAACTGCGACTGAAAACTGGAAATAATAATTCAAAAAAACTGAAAATAGTGCAAAAAGAGTCTTGTCTGGATTCAAACCCCAATCTTCTGGATTAAAGACGCGTTTATCCACCACAACCTCCTCCGTACTCGTGCATTATCCCTCCTTATACTACTGATACTATTATTAATACTAAATTATGTATATTTTGCCTAAATCTAACCAAGAAGTTTTGTTTCCTAAAATTAACCAAACCACGACAGAAAACTAAAAATGATAATAATCGAATAAAACAGAAAATAATAAGTCAAACGTCAGTCTTTGACCCGTTCATCAACCACCACCTACTACACACACATTTATGTATATTCCACAACATAACCAAATAGTTTGGTTTCTTCAACCTACCCAAACTGCAACTGAAATAATAATTATAATAATAATAATAATAATAATAATAATAAGAGAAAATAACAAGTAAACTGAGTGTAAAAATAAGCTTTTCTCTGGATTTAAACGTCAGTCTTCTGGGTTTGAGTCCTGAGTTTGACGCGTTCATCAACCACAACCTATTCCCTGCTTCTCTTTATACTACTGCTATATTACTACTACTAAATTATGTACATTTATCCTCAACTAAAGTTAAGCAAATTATTCTGTTGCCTAAATCCAACCAAGCTGCGAATACGAATAATGATAATTGAAAAACTAAAACAGGTTTCTCTTGGGATTGAAACTTTAGTCTCTAGTTTAACTCATTCATCAACAGCACCTGCTCCCTTCACATGGATTATCTCTGTTTAGACGAGTACTACCATCACTAACACTAACCCTTCCAGTCGGCTCGCTTACTATTGCTAAATTAAGCACATTTGACTTGGCCGGCTGTAAATAGCCGATTAGCTGCAACTAGACACTCCGATGAGCGGATAACTCAAAACCTTTTTTTCTGAATATCAAAACATTTTCCAGCGCCGTCCAGTTAATGTATTATTATTGTCTTTGCTCTTCACAGTCTGCTGAGGGGAGTCGGCTTCTCATGGGCTGACGAACCTGAGATTGAGTCTGAAGTCACCATTCTCAGGTCGGACAGTCCTGGAAAAGAACCGCTCAAAGAGCCAAAGCTGGACTTTATGTGACGTTCAGGGTGCTCCGGGATCCTCAGCACTCAGCGTCCACACATCTGCTTTAAATAAAACAAAAAAAGATAAAAACACTCCATTGAACGCTTGTAATGTCTGTTTGAGGACAAACTCAGGAAGTAAAATGTTCAGATGCACAAAGGTGCACTTTTTAAACCTTAAACGTATCCGTTCAGATAAGCTGTACTCTATGTTTTAGATTTGTATTTGTTATTAAAGCATTTAAATTACAGGCTAACACAATGCAGCTTCCATACTGTTGGGATTTTGGCGCGAAACGAAATTCATCATCTGAGAAAATACACCAAAAAAAAACAAAGTTACAAAAGTGATTTTATAATTTCACTTCCTTTTTAAAAAGAGATTTGTCGCTCTGTCTTTATGTTCGTAGGATAAAATAATCCTTTATTAGTCCCGCAGTAGGGACATCTACAGGATTACAGCAGCACAGTGGAGTATATATATATATATATATATATATATATATATATATATATATATATTTACATTATTACCCACATAGTGGATAGTGCAAACAAGATACATTGTAAAAACAAGTATTATAAATAAGAAATAAAACAGGAAAGAATATTAAAAAAGTAGAAAATCCAATGACTATAATATTATATACAGACAGAATAATTGTGTTGCACAGATTGTTAGTGTTATGTGATCTACATCACTTTTAATCTAATGACAATGATGCATCTGAACAACACATCATGACTGTGTGCAAATGTTCCCATTCAGAGAACAACACATCTGGCTCTCTGAGAGCGATGAAACAGTCCAGAGGAGCTTAATGCACGAACCGAACACACCTAAATCACTCGGCCTGACTTTACGAGGACAGGCCGGTCTCTCAGAGACGGTCCTCTCGTCATAAACTGTGCAGGAACGAGGAAAGAGACGATACTTCTTCAACTGACTCATCCCAACCCTCATCTCATGATTCACAAATATTCCACCGTCTGAATTATTCATCCATCAACTGTCTGCTGCTCACGTCCTCATGGCTTCATTCAGAGCGCAGACACACTCAAGGACAGACTGCACATTAAGCAAACAAATAGATACATAGTTTCTCTCCATTCCTTTCATCTCTGAGGGTTCCGTGGTAAGTTTGTTTAAGTCGCTTTAAAAGACTTTAAAAGCTTTTAAAATCTCCCCCTTCCTCCCTCCTTCCTCCCTCATGCTTACCCCCTCGGCAGACTCCTCCAGGCCCAGGCGAGGCAGACTTTTGGGTGGAAAACTGATCTCTATCACTGTGAAGACGTGACCCAAAAAAGAGACGAGGGCAGAGCGACCTGGAGACAAGATAGAAGAAAAAGGCCACTCCTGCTGTGTTTTTACTCAGCTGTGACCTCATCGTGCTCTGTGCTACCAATGGGGATGCAACACAGACACACACATACACACACGTACACACGCAGACACACACACACACACACACACACACACACACACACACACACACACAGCACCTTCCTGTTTGTCAGTGCTGGTGGTAAACTTTCCACTGACACCTTCATTCAAAAGGACCAATATGAAGTTTTCATGCATTTTGACATTTAGGGAAATAAAAAATAAAAAAATGCGTCTGCATCGAATTTGAATACTATTTAGGGAAATCTCGTCATGCAATATAAGGTGTGTGTGTGTGTGGCTTGTCAAGTTCAAAATCAAGCTAGTTTAACAGATTTCAATAAAGATTTTATGTTAAATGTTTAAGACATGCGTGTTTAACTCAACAGTAGGAGGAACACATGCTGCTGCTGATGTTCCTGATATTCTTAGCTCTTGCACATCCTTTGACTGTCCTTCTGACGCCCCCCCCCCCCCCCCTCTCCTCTAAAAAAAGATGCCTCTTGTGGGTCAGTATCTGCCAGTTTGTAATTGTCCGTCAGCCTCATCAAACGCCTGTCAATCAAACGTCTTGACGGCTGTCAGGGTGATAATTATGGAAAGCGATGGAAGATTTCAAAGGTTTTTTTTGCCATGAGAAGAGGACAACCACCACATCCTTCCTGTTCAATGTTTTAAAAGTGTAGAAGAAGTCTGAGTGGTTTTATCAAGGAACAGAACAGGCAGATGATGGTTTACGTTCTGTGCTTTAATAAAGATGTGACCTCTGTTTAACTGATGAGTAACACCATGACGTACATCAAATAACACACTCAGACACTTAAAAGCTTGACTGCACTTTTATTTAACAAGTAAATATATATATTATATATAAAAGAGCACGCAGCAGCAGTGGCAAACACAAAGCAGCACGCAGTCAAACACAACTGGATGTTCAGCTCAGTGACTCACTAACAGGACTCAGCAGCTCGTGTACCGCACGGTAACGGCTGAACAAAGTACCGGAGAGACAACGGCAGTAAGTTTGTTTTTACCTTAATGTTGTGTATTTTAGATTCTTTCAATATGTAAAAAAGTATGTGTGTGTGTGTGTGTGTGTATATATATATATATATATATGTATATATAAACACACACATATATATTTTCTTTTACAAATGATCCGTTACAATCTGTATAGTTCAACTTGTTGAAGAGAACGTCCTGTTAAATAAACTGCATAATAAACTCAAAATGAATATTGAGCAGCTGTGATGTTTGGCTGCATTAGCTGACGTGAGCTTAACATGGAGGAGACACCAAACATCTGGCTCACTCTCTAAAGAACAACAAGGCCAGAATAAATACGCACCAACTTTAACCGACGGATCTCATTCATTTCAGTGCTGACACCGTTTATAAACACCAGGAACCAGCTGTGTGAACACGTTAACATCCAGATGTTCTGAGTTCATGTGTCCTCCACTCAACAGCCCTTTAAATACAAACAGAAGAAGAAGAAGAGCATCTGATGGGGACTGAGATAAACTCTCAATCTACGTTTGTTGAATGCAGATGAGCCGTTTTCTTGGCTGCATAACTATGTAAATGAAGAACACGCTGCATAAATATACACCGCGAGTGCATACTCTGAGCTGTATAATGAAAGAGAAGCGTTTTAACACTCGTTTTAACTGGTTCGGTCAGCGTCCACAGAAAGGAAGAGGGTGAACCAGAGAGCTCAGAGAGACGGATACACCCACACACTTCCCGACTGACTGGTCCTTCACAAAGTGCTCGTGGCGATGGAGTGTTGAGCAACACGAGTTCATGTTCTGATTTTTACTTTTGTGAAAGTTGTGAGGAAGGTATACGCGGTGAAACAACAACCTTAAAAGCTTGACGTCTTCTTCTTTTTGCGGCGCGTTTAAATTCACATTCGTTCGTGTCGTCCACAGTTCACGGCTTAAAGCAACATGCCTGCTAACGTCAGAGATCGTCACAATTCAAACAATAAAATACAAATAGCATACTGTATATATAAAAATATTTCATACTTCATAAACTTCCCATGAGAGCATTTACATGATATTAAATAATACACGCAGAATGCCAACAGGGTGACTGTACAGTGTTTTCAGTTGATTCCTCTGGGCTCCTTGTTTCCTACAGCGTGTCCTCGTATCGTCCTCCGAAAGGGGGGCGGAGCCCCGAATCGCCCGATCAGTCGCCGATAGTTCCATCAGTAACTGGGCTCATCCATCTCTTCGTCGCTCCAGTTGGGCGGTGCGTCTGTTCCAAAGTATCGGTCCCCGAAGTTTCCTACAAGAGCCAAAAAACAGCAGTTAAAAGTGACAAACAGTTGAAGCGGTAGAAACACTAAATGTCTGTTGAGTCCCGATCGATCGCTGAAGGAGGTAACACAGCGGTGACTGAGCTCAAAGTAAAGTATTGCAGTATTTACGTATTTGCAGTATTATGAGGACAGACACCTCGAACATGAACTTATATCTTTTAAACACTGTGTGGGTTTTTTTTCCTACGTTATCGAAGCTCCTCAAAGTTCTCAGTCTCCTCCGTCCATCAGCGTCTGCGCTGTGAGAAAATGTGGGATGTTTACTCACCGATGCCGGGGATGATGTGAAAGAGGTTGTTGACCTTCTTGTCCACAGCGGTTGTGATGATTTTGACCTGTGGGAACGCGTAGGCCACTGAGTGAACTCCCATTTCTGCCATGAGCAGAGACACCAGCAGGATCTTGTCCTCCTGAACGTCATGGTCCTGCAAATGAACAACACACGCATGAATACGGGCGACATGAGGGGAACCATTGCGGGCTTTTCGTGGACTTGCGGCGCACCCACCAGCAGGACTCGAACGGCCATCATGGCGGCGGCTCCGGTGGACACGGTGCAGTCCATCAGGATCACGTGATCTTCACCGATGTCTTTCGGGAGACGCAGGTAGTGAAGCTGATGACATTTAGAGACGAGATGTTTAACGCCAACATGTCACGTACATGACCGGTACCATCCTGTAGCTGTAGCAGAGTAGTAATGAACTTAAATCCACACCTCTGGTTCTCCCGTGTCCTGGTTGGTCTGGATCAGGATCTTGCCGATGCGGACGTCTTTGCACACGGCCCTCAGAGCCGGCTCCATGGTCTCCCCGGCTCGCAAGATGGACACGCCTGTGATCTGAAGAAAAACAACAACAACAAGAAGAAAATAATTCAAACAGAGGTTAATTACATCTGTTTCAGGAGAGAGACGGAAATCCGTCCGAATGAAGAAAGACGGCGTGAAGTAAATGGAGTTCACTCACCCTCTTCCCGTGGAAACTCCTGCCTTCATAATCCTCTCCCTGGGGGGTCTGGACTACGTGGACCTGAGACGATATTAAAGATCACAACAGTGTGACTGTGTGTGTGTGTGTATATATATATATGTATAACAGTGCTGCGCTGTAGTGTACTATAGGAGTCATTCATTTCACTTTCAGTCACGTGTGTGTGTGTGTGTGTAATGCAAAGCCTGTATCTTATGATTCAGGTATGGAAACTTTCCACTGTGGTGACTCGGTAAGTTTCCGTGCTCATGCAGCATCTGATTATCTTTTTTAGCAAATACAAATGCGTACTACTTTCTTTTTCCTTTCATCTTTATCTCTCTCCGTTTCAAGGCCTCATAATGTATCAGTGTCTGTCTGTCACCCGCTCCTCCTCCTGCAGGTATCTAATGGTTCAGAGTCAATGTCCTACTTCAAACAGAGGGAATACAGAGCATCAATGCAGAGCATGTGCATTCAGTCACGGTGTATCTGTGACACCTGCGAGGGGAGGAAGGAGAGCGCCCGCTCGATCAGCAGACGCATCAGCCTCTTGGAGTAGAAGATGAACTCGTCCCGGCTGGTCTCCTTGTTCCTACACGAGGCCGAACGGAGGATAAAGAAAGATGCTTCTGTTAGATGCCGGCTAACAGGTTGTCGTGGTGGACGTGGTGAGGATCGTACCTGATGATGGTGTGCATGCCCCTGACCTGAGGCGTGCTCTCCAGAACACTGAGCGTCTGGGGGAGGGGATGGGCCTGGTGTGCAGAAGCCAGGGCTGCCCTGTAACCACGGCAACAAATAGCGGAGCGGGGGGAAGACGCATGAATACGACTCACAAGCAACAGTTCTCTGCACACAGTGACGGGCTTTAGTCTGATGAGATGGCCGTTAAGAGGCAGAACAAAGCTCAGCAATGATGTTCATGTTCTGGTTGAAGAACATTGTGTGGTTAAGTTGACAGATGTTGCGACACACACACACACACACACCTTTATGTTGCACAACCTCGTCATTCCAGCAAACCCTGACAGATCCCAGCCAAAGTAAATAAATACATTCGTTAAAGATGCACCGAGGATCGTTACGATCGTTGTCGGCTGATATTGCTCCATTATGATGCCTTCAGGCTCTGTAATACAAACATGAGTACTGGGTGAAGGTACATCATAATGCTATCATGATGTGTTCAATGTAATCTTGTAAAACTTTTGTTTTCACAGCAACATGAAATAGATCTTAGAGAGGAATGATGAGCTGTACCTACAGGAGCTCTAAGCTGCTTAAAATATTACACTACTAATGACAAGATTTGATTTCCAGATCATTTCAGTTGTGTAGTTTTTCTGTTGCAAATAACCACTATAGATGACTACAACAAAGTAAAAGGATAAACTCTGACTTCAGTATCTTTGACGGTTGGCATTTAAAAAGCGTGATCAGGGATCTTAATAAGTTTTATTTGTAGTTTTATAATCTGTTACTTTTTGTAGTCCATTTCCTCAATTCATCAACACATCCACTCTCTGGTTCTGCACACATGTAGATGAACCCTCTGCCAGCTTTCACACCAAATTTAAGGGTCACTCAGAGAGTCAATTTAACCACGTTTGTAGTAAAATACTTTTAGACAACAATCCATTCCGTGTGTAGGAGACGAAAAGGAAAGTGTGAAAAACACGACAGTGCTTTGCTCTACTTCCACTACGGGTACATCTAGATGTTGGGTGCCCTCCCACCAGCCTATATGTGCAGGTTTACACACAAGCTGTGCACTCACACACTGTACTGTATGCACATTCAGTAAACACACACACACACACACACACACACACACACACAGACGTGTAAGTACGTGCAGAAAACTGAATACACCACAAATCATTTTTCAGCAGTAGTTAAAGCAAAGTTGATTATGGTCGTGTGCAACCGCTGTTGCTTTGGGGGGAAAAGAGGCAGACGCACAGAATTTGCAAAGCACACGGTGCCAGTGTTGAGTATTCAGAGGAACGATTACAGCACAGAGACCACCATGATGGAAAACACCGCGTTTAACACTATATATATATATATATATATATATATATATATATATGAACCCTATATATATATATATATGAACCCTATATATATATATATATATGGGTTTGAAATGCTGTGTCAAATAAATGCACGCTGCTTATTTTCCATGATAGGTCTCTACTACTTGTAGTGACTCCACACATTAGGGTTGAGTTAGCCTAGCCTGGGCTCTAGAAGAACAGACACAGATGCAGTCGTGCAGTCGTGTTGACACTGCAGTCTCCACCACGTCTCCGTTAGCCAGATGCAGAGAAACAAAGAGAAATCATAGCAGATCTGCTCACATATCCCAGCGAAGTTTCCTCTAAAGAGAGAGGTTTTGTTTTTGTTTGAAACGCAACCATGACAGAAAGGACACACAGAAAGACGAGAAACAGATAAGAGAGGGGGGGGGGGGGAGAAAAAAACAACATCAGGTGGATGAGGAGATGAAGGGATCATCACACACACACACACGCGGGGGAGAAAGGGTGACAGCTTTGGGCCTCCAACTGTCAGAGAAAGGTCATTTTAGGTAGAATAGCGTCTCCTGGTTATCACGTATGATCCAGAGGGAGAAGCAGAGTAACGGGCTGTAAGGGAGCTTTACAAATATTAGATTATCTTTCCAGATCGGATTCACACACAAACCATTGTGTGTGTGTTAGCGTGGGAGGTGCGGCTGTCACTCTTTCACCGTGTAGAAACAGCAGAGGTTGGTATTTCAGCTCACAGGCCTCGGCACATCCTGTGTCTAAAGACAGGCACCGAGCTCACTTCCTCTCTCTCTATGTGTCTCTGTCTCTCTCTCTCTCTCTGTGTGTCTCTCTCTCTATGTGTCTCTCTCTCTCTCTCTGTCTCTCTCTCTCTCTCTCTCTCTCTCTATGTGTCTCTCTCTCTCTCTCTCTGTGTGTCTCTCTCTCTCTCTCTGTCTCTCTCTGTCTCTGTGTCTCTCTCTCTCTCTCTGTGTCTCTCTCTGTCTCTGTGTCTCTCTCTCTCTCTGTCTCTCTCTCTCTCTGTCTCTCTCTCTCTGTCTCAGACACTGTGGCCGACATTCAATGGAAAAACTCAGCGCTTTGTAGTAGTAGGGTATTGGAAACTTTCTCTGTGGCTGAGGTATGTGATAGTCAACAATAGCTTCCTCCCTCTCTCTCTCTTTCTGTTCTCTCTCTCTCTCTCTCTCTGAAAGGAGGGGTCAGCGACTCCAACTCATTGGTGTATTTTTAGACACAGAAGGCATGAAGAGTGTAAGTTGTCATTTCTCTACGAGGTAGAGAGAAGGAAAGTCTTTACATGAAAATGCTGGCTGCACCACACCACGTTCATCTTAGCGGCTTGTGTGCATGTTTTTATTTAACTATATATTTCACGCTAGTGTGGACGAAGTCTTTTTGGAGTCTTAATGACTCTTGATCGCCAATTAGCCGCATTAGCGCTACAACAGTGCCGCCTGGTGATGTGCCGCGGCAGCCAGCAGATCAGTGGAAGGTAGAGGTCGTTGGTTTTTTTTTTTCTGGGGGGGGGGGGGGGGGGGGGCGGCACTGGACAGATGGCGAGAGGAGAGAATGATAGACAGGATAAAGGCCACTCTACCTGACGCTGAGCTCACGCTGTGGGCCGTGGAGGGATTTTGGGGGAAGTGGGGTGAGAAAGCAGTCCATCAGGTGTGTGTGTGTGGGAGTGTGTGTGTGTCTTCGTTTATAGTCGCGTGTGGCACTGTAGCGCGTTCGTTACATTATTTTACGAAACGCCAGAAGGTGAACAAACAAAAATGAACTGTGAAGGATCACAAAGACGACATAAACCGACCTCCTCACTGCTGAGGAGGGATTGTAACTAACCGTTAACTCATACCTCATATTCATGGACTACTTTATCAGCCCGGTAGAGAAACAAGTCAAGTATTAAATGCATTATAAAGAAACAAAAGGTTGAAGTTGTAAAAAATTGTAGAAGTTGATGACCAAGATCCCCCCCCCCCCCCCCCCCGACCACTTCGCTCACGACACGCCGGCTGTGATTACGTCATTTTCTGCCATGCAAACCATGCTACGGCAAGTATAAACCAAGCTTAAGTGTGTGTGTGTGTGTGTGTGGTGGAGAGAAAAACAGAACTGCATTGTGTCACAAAGTCCCCCCCCCCCCTTCTTAGAAAACAATCAGTGACACTTGGTGCATGTTGCACAACAAATCCAAAAGTCTAAACTGAACAGTCTTATTCTGGAGAGGAAGCAGGATGAACCTCTGATTGGGGGTTATTGTTATTAAGGACGTGCAATCATTCATCAATATTAAATGCTGTGTGATATTTTGAATTCACCTGAAAACATACACTTATAAGTCTAAATAAAATAGTTGAAATTGAGTTTGATATAGATGAATATCAACCAGGCGTTAATACAAATGTTATTAAAATCAATAATCAAATGTCTGGAGACTCTTCATCAATCTACTTGTTTATTTCCTGTTAAATGTCTGACACAACGGCAGCATTCTCACCCCAAAAATGATCCTTTGTATATTAATTACTCATCATTGTTATTCTCTCATGCCTCCGCGTTGAACAGAGAATCCAATAAACAGGCGCTGCTTGTTAGTGTGATGGTTTATTTCAATGGCGATGTTTTAGCTACGACGCATGAGTTTGAGAAGCAGTGAGCGTACAGCTGCACAGATGAGACTCAGATTAAACTGCACAAGTTGTGTGAGAGTTTGTAAACAGATGTTTGGCCTCCGTTCAGCGTGGAGGCATGATGGAGGAACGAGGGTGAGCAATTAATATACAAAGGATCATTTTAGGGATTCCGTTAAGATGGACAAGCAGAGAAACTCTAGAAAGATGAATTTTGAGAAGATTTAAATAATTACCAAAGTAAAACTGATTCAGATTCAGACTCTTACTGGATGATAACCATCAAGTATATATTCTATGTTAGGGCTTAAACTCGGAGTAATACATTAATAACATGCTAATATTAGACCTCAATATGACAGCGTGAAATGTATAGTTTGCTACTTTCCACCAAATAAGTTTTTTTTTTACTGAAACAAATATAAGACAACAATCCTATATTTCTATCTTCTATCTCTCTGCTCACACTAACGAGGCCAGTTCATTCATGCACATTCATCCTGCTGTTATAATCGGTGCAGTGCGTCTTCTCTCCACTAGAGGGAGCGATGGAGCCTTTAAATGACTGACAGTAAGAGTTAAGGGACGGTTGCAGCTGATCGTTCCAATGGTATTCTAAAAATGCTTCAACCACACAGAAAACTAACACCAGGAGGGATGAATGAAGGGCCATAACACTCCACTAATATGTTTAGTGTGTGTGTGTAGGTCTGTAATACCTCCTCCAGCTGACTGTGGACATGCTGCACGATCAAATCGATGGCCACCATGTTGAAACCGCCTGACGACAAACAGGAAAACAAAGCGACGTGATGTTAACGTAGAATCATGGGAGTTATTCAGGTTGACAGCAGTGCAATGCAAGAAAAAGACTTCTTGTGTCATAGTCGTAGTAACCTGTATACTGTGTGTGTAAACATGTGTGTATGTGGAGTATGAACGCACCACGGGGCACCACGATGTCGGCCAGGCGCATGGTGGGTTCGATGTACTGCTCGAACGCCGGCTTGACGAACTTGTTGTACTGTTTGATGACGCCCTCGATGTCCCGGCCCCGGTCCGTGATATCCCTCCTCAACCGACGCACCAGCCGGATGTCGGAGTCCGTGTCCACGAAAATCTTCATGTCCAGCAGCTGTCGGGGGGAACGTGACACATGAGAGATATAAATGTCAGGGTTAGTGCTGCAGGAACGAGTCCTAAATCCAGGAAGTGAGTCAGCGTAAATGAGAAGACTAAACGTCCTCACTGGAACACTCGTCCTCCTTTAGCTTAGTGCTGGAGACGTGAAGTCATGTGACAGTGGTGGAGTTCCTTTACAGACTAACGTGAAGTCACGTGACCGTGGTGGAGTTCCTTTATAGACTAACGTGAAGTCATGTGACCG